GTAATCAATTATCCCTATACTGATAGTAATCAGTAGCCCCTATTCTGATAGTAATCAGTAGCCCCTATACTGATAGTAATCAGTAGCCCCTATACTGATAGTAATCAGTAGCCCCTATACTGATAGTAATCAGTAGCCCCTATTCTGATACTAATCAGTAGCCCCTATACTGATAGTAATCAGTAGCCCCTATACTGATAGTAATCAGTAGCCCCTATACTGATAGTAATCAGTAGCCCCTATACCTGATACCTGATAATCAGGCACTTCTCTCTCAGACATTGTCCAAAACATCAGTATATGCACTGAGCATTAATTATGTCCGTGACAGATCTGATCATATCAAGTCTCAAAACAGAAGCCTTTCGAAGAAGATTTCAGGACATTTTGCTGTAAAACACAAGATTACCTTACATGAAAACACAAAACTTGTGATGAAAGTGAAAGATCGATAAGAAAGTATAACTTGCGTACCACCCAAGATGGGCAGCTAGCAGGTATGACTGTGTGCATCCTCTAGTTGATTACACTTGCAGGCAGAATGTATAATTGATGGAGAGGGATGTGAATCGTTGCATGCATGGTTCAAAGTCTCTCAAGGCTAGCAAGATTTTGTCAATAATTGATATAAGCCGTCCTTGAATTTTCATATGAAACTAATTAATTGCTGTTCCATAACATTTGGTGTGATGAATAAGGCACAGGTAGACAGGTTTTATAGGATAATGTAGCAACTATATGAAAATAGAACTATAAGAACAGCAGTTTTCTTCCCCAAGCTGCATCCATCACACTATTTGTTCACCGAGCACCATCAAACAAACTATTCATTTTCACTATTAACACACAAAAATTGATGTTTCAAACTATTCATTTTTTTCACCACTGCCAACAAACTATTCATTCTGGGCATATTTCTGAACAAACTATTCATTCTGGGCATATTTCTGAACAAACTATTCATTCTGGGCATATTTCTGAACAAACTATTCATTTAAAATTCTATTATATTACTTTATGTATTTCTTATCTCCATGCTCATCCAGAGCAGTCTGTCAGAACAAAATAATTAATTGAATTATAATAAATCCAGATTCACTCCAATAATGATCCTGTTTTTTCAGCACTTTAACCACACTTTCCCCACATTGGTAGCCCTGTAAGACCAGCCTCAAGCTTTCCTCCTATACTTAACTGACATGCCGTAAAATAACTGAAATAATATCATTTACTTTATATTTGGTATATAATTGTAGGTCTACATGTCTATATATGAACCATCTCATGATTTGTGTCATGATATTTATGTCAGAATTTTTGTCCCCTTCTGTGATACCGGTACTAGCACAAATTGTTTGATAGGCATTACTTACAAGTTGACGGATGACAAAGTAGACACAATTTATGGATAACAACTTCTTTAATACTGTAAAGGCGACGTTTCAGCATAGATCCTTATACCGTTGTCAAGCAGGACTGTACTAGCACCCTAACACCATTCCGCCACTTTTAGAACATTTAACATTATTCCCCATCTCATCTTACATTCTGTCCACAAGTCTTGTACCTAAGCTAACCTTTAAGGTCATAATTTAGTTTTATAAGGCTATATATCACTGTTAATCTGTTGTCAGGAGACGAGCATGTGGCCTGAAGATACTATTCCACCTACAACATATTATACTAGGTGCCATGTTATAAATCAAGCAAATAGTAATCCCTTCTGCCCGAAGGGATGATCTAGTATGTACTGACATGGAATTGTAAAACAGGCTGTCCAGGTATTTATAAAAGATACAGATGAGGATGTCAGAATGTGAATCCAACGTATGACAGTCTATCTATTAGTAGGCAATTCTAATTCTGTTTTACTTATGTATTGTATAATATTACTTACACCAGATATCTGCCTATATGATGACCCTAAGTGTAAGTATAACTTTTTGGTCAGTTTAGATAAATGTTTTGAAAGAAACAATTACCTATTTCTATTTTGAGTTTTGCGCTTTGAAAGAGATATTTTAAATGAGTAGTTTGTTCAGAAATATGCCCAGAATGAAAAGTTTGTTGGCAGTGGTGAAAAAATTGAATAGTTTGAAACATCAATTTTTGTGTGTTAATAGTGAAAATGAATAATTTGTTTGATGGTGCTCGGTGAATAAATAGCATGATGGATGCAGCTTGGGGAAGAATATTGTTCTCTTGCTATCATCAGCAACAGGCAGTTGGGAGAAAATAGTTACTAATCCGTTTAATATTGTTTAAAAAAAGAAATGTCTGTGTCATATTTAAACTATTTTCCTAATGACATTTTACACCCAGTAGGAAATACCACAAGCTTACATGAGCTACAAGACTAATTTGGAATTTTGAAGTAAAGATCCTATATTAAAAAAGAATAGTGATTGAATTTTTTCTTTCAGTAATCGCCACCAGGAATTAAATATCTGTGGCAACATCATGTTATCCCCGACAACTACATCACATCACATACCTCTGTTGATCTCATCGTCCACCATCTTGCTTTAAAGACATCACTGCCCCAGGTCACTGGTACATAACTGACCCCAACTTCAATGCAGAGGTCATGTGAGGTCATGGGGATTCTGTGTATTTACAAAGGGGATAATCTCCCCCTGCATGCATCTAGTCATCCGCCTGGTGTCAGACACTCATGTCGCCGTGGTAACATGCCTGCAGTGATTTCGTCTAAAATGTGGGAATCACCACGAAGCATGACGTAACACCTTGTTGGTTCATCCTTGACTGTTTTTGTCTTTTAAGGAAAGTTTCAAGGTCAAGTAAGAGTGCCATGATTGTATGTTTGGATTGTCGATGTTAAACCTAACCCCAAAAATGTCTTGACAAAAATGTACTTTGTTAAGCCTCCATCAGACAGTCAGGTCTGTTTCTGAGAAGACTGAATGGACGAAAAGATAAACATTTTAAGTTAAAATTGTGTATTGTCCATGACTTTGTGCCGTATATAGCATTTAAGGATGGTCACTACATGGCCAGAGCAATTTGATCTGTTCGGCACTTTTATGCCAGTTTGAAAAACAAAACTCTGTAATGGGAATAGTCATGTTCAGTAACCCTTAAAATTGACATTCAGACAATGTTTTCTCTACGGCTTGCAAGCGATTACATTTTACCCCTAAAAAATGAAACCCGAAGAGGTTGGTATTTTTTCATACACCAGAAAGTTTGGTAATGGGGACAATTGTAAAAGTGCATATAGTCCTTAAAAAACTCATCCCTCCTTCAGGTATTTGGGGGATGAGTATCTGTAAAAACAGTAACGAACTGGTTTGGCCTTAGTACATTATTTCCATACCAGATACAGAGACAAAGAACTTGTGTAGTGTCTTTAAAGCAGCTGGCTTTTGTCCATTAGCTCCATCACATGGGGATGTTAAGATCTTACTTTCATCACTTTGAGTGACCCAATCTGCATGTTATGTAAGATATATCCATGATTGGCAAGACCACTCAACGTTGCTAAATAAAAGTGTCAAAAGCGTTTTTACGATCAGAAAAAAAATTGGATAAAAAAGGTCCATTGTACGATTCCAGCTTATTGTCATAGACATGTGTTTATGAATCACTATCAATTTGTGATGATACCAGATGTTCGTGAAAAGGTGATCGTATCCTGCCCCATCTGCGAGCCAACAACAGTAAAACTACAGAGGCAGTTGCTGAAACACAGATGCATATATGAACACATTTGTGATATATGAAACCAACATTGTTTATCTTAAAACTGAGAATGAAAGTATTTGTATTCAGACAGGTTAATAACCCCAGATTCATTTCTGTTTCATTCCAAATACTGGTGCTGAAAGATATAAATTACATACAATCTTTCAACCAGTGATGCATTCAATGTATTCAAATACTCTGACAGAAATGTCCTAACCGATAAAGCTATAGCAGTAACAGTGTACAGTACTGTTATATTGAATATTTATCATGCGACACATGTACTGATGATAATAGAATTTATTTTAACGTTTTTATGTGCTAAGTACTCTACATTTATTTGACATAGTGCAATATAATTTAATACTATTGAAAGTTGAGTTCCACCCTATGCTCTCTCAATAGACAAACATATATTCTAAATAATATTTTATCTTATGCGATGTACGGATCAGTGTCTTGTTTCGCTGAAAGGGTTGTATGTTATGAAGAAACAAACATTTTTGGAAACATGATGTTTAAATCTTTATGGGTTATATGATGTTGACACTGGTCTCGGACCGTCATAATGAAGGCATGTTGCAATACCGTATTCGATGTAATAAGCGCCCTGCTCTAATAAGCGCCCACGGTGATATTTGCTAATATATTGGCAAGTGAACAATCCCAATTAGCACCCCTTCCGATTGATCATTGTGCACAAGACTTATTTATTCGTGTATTATACACACTCGTGTGTTACATGTACCCTTAATTATGGGCAATTAAATTCTGGAAAAATATATCTATCGTATATAAACAGTTCAGGCCATCAGCATAAACCACAAAATTTATCTTTCAATCTTTTTTCCACCAAAATAATATTCTAATAAGAGCCCCCTATTTCTAATTTATTTTGAGGGCGCCCTGGGTGCTTATTACGTCGAATACGGTAAACATTGTGTTACACTTTTATGCAAGTATTGAATGGTTTATGGGATATTATGATACCATCAAGGATTGAACTACATGTATGTATACTGTTGTCCTTTGTTACTTGATCCAACCTAGGTCTGGGTGGGATGAGAATGTGTGCCAAGGAGACCTCACTGATAGAGTACAATGTATACATTAATAAATGACACACACCACCCCAAATCCCACCCTCCCCAATTGCGATATCAAGTTGTTTGTTCTTGAATGAATAAAGAGCCTTGTGTAACTGTCTGCTGTATTCATATTCTGAATCAAAGTGCAAAAAGGGTATTTTTTTAAAGAAAAAAACACAAATATTTATGTTTTCCTTTCTCTTCCAGTTTTTAAATCCGGACCAAAGAAAACGCGGAAAGTAAATTCTAGTGGATTATCAGAGGATCGAACTTCCCCCGAGCATGACGGTCACGTTAACCCAGCGTTCAACGACAACCAAGCCGATATATCAGCTGCTGAGGCGGGTAAGTAATCGATGAAATGTATGTAAACAATAATCAATTCCTTGTGTCATTGTGCTCGCAAGCTGTAACCATGGGAAGCAATTAGTGGTATTTGTTTGTTCAAACTCAGCAAAAAGCATTTTGCTTAAAAAAATGATGTTACATTTATGAAACTTAATATGTATTTTTACTGTTTTTACTGTGTTTTTAATACATTTCTGTTTATATATACAGTTAGTATTTTTCACTTAAAATAAATTTCAGTCAATTTGTTTTGAATGGATAACCTCTGATATTATATGTATAGTCAACATTAAGTGATAAGTTAATGAGACATAAAACTAAAATATTTATACTGCAAGTTGAATTCAAGGTATGACAAAATGTGGCATCTAAAAGCGAAATCTCTTCCTCCGAAATAAGAATAAGAAAAATATTCAGTTATTTAGATGATCAGCATTTTAAGAAGTATTTCAGCGACATGTATGCAAAGCAGCTCAGCTTCATTGAGCTACTGATGAGTTGATTTACTGGGTCTAAGGCGTCTAAGACTAAAATAGTGAAATATCATTATTCAAATCCTTTAGTTTAAATTTCTACCTCTGACAAACTTCCCATGTCAAAATGAATAAATAAATAAATAAAAGTACACAAACACAGTGTAACTGTAAAATTTATACAAAAGGTTACTGGACACAATATGCAAGTCAACATTTGATAAGGGTATTCTGACTGTGCAGTTGGGGAATAAATGTGACTGGATATTTGGAGATGTTGTCATACAAATAGCATCAGATTTGGGCATGGAACTGACTCATGTTAAACTTAATTTCATTATAACAAGAGTAAACATTATATTCTGTTGTCTCCGACTTTCTTAAGAGTGTGAGTTAGCACAGCATCCCTATCAGGACTTGACTAGTCCTGTTTAGACTCGTGGATTTAAGTGATATTAGGACTCATTTTGTTGTCGTTTTGGGAGAGATGTGAGGCCTGTGTGCAACAAAGATTAACTTCTTCCCATTCAGTGTCTCAACACAAACACTCGCTGTTTAAACTATGCAACACCTTTTGTGATATCTGGGAAATCTTCCAACACTTTGCATGCTCACATACTCCAATGTTTACTTTTGTTTATTATTACTTGAAATGAAGCTTAACATGTGTCAAGTCCATGCCTAAATCGTATCCTACTCATGTGGAATATCTCCAAACAAAGTCAGAAGTATCCCCAATCAGTAATACACGGAGAATATCCCTATCAAATGTCTGGTAGTATACAGTAAACTACGGTTATAATGAACTCAAGGGGACCACTTATTTTAGTTCGTTATAACCGTAGTTCGTTATAAGCATATATACAGCATAATACAGCAGATAGTCAGGACAAAAAAGTAAATTTGTTATATCCGTCAGTCAGTTATAAACGTATTTTACTTTATATCCATCACAAATTGTGAGCTCTTATGAGAGAAAGTGACTAAAAACTCCCAGACGGATCTGTAGAACATCCTTATGAGAGAAAGAGACTAAAAACTCCCAGACGGATCTGTAGAACATCCTTATGAGAGAAAGTGACTAAAAACTCCCAGACGGATCTGTAGAACATCCTTATGAGAGAAAGAGACTAAAAACTCCTAGACGGATCTGTAGAACACCCTTATGAGAGAAAGAGACTAAAAACTCCCAGACGGATCTGTAGAACACCCTTATGAGAGAAAGAGACTAAAAACTCCCAGACGGATCTGTAGAACAAGTGGTCTTTCCAAGAAGAAAAGAAATGTCTGTTTTTCCATATAACAGATGACCGCCTCGGTGGTCTAGTGGTAGAGCACGTGCCCAGAGAGTGGAAAGTTTGGGTTCGATCTTTGGTCGCGTCATACCAACGTTAAGAGATGGTACTTGTCTGGCGCTCGGGTTTAAGGGTTAAAACAAGGACTGCTCGGCTCGGAGTCAGTATACTGTGTCTGAGTGGGGTATTCATGTTTAACTGCAGCATGGTATCTCAGTGGGCTAGAACTAAAAGATCGCCATCAGTCCGGACTAGTACAAGCAGCCACACACACAAACACGTACATGCACGTCACTACATAAGTGCAGTAATCTTGGACGCAAGGTTAAACCCCATTTCACCTCACCATATAACAGAACATAAAGTTTGAATTAGTCCCTGGTATAAATATTTAGACACCCTTCGTTTCCTTGAGTCCAATCCACTGTATGTATACATGATGTAAGCTGGCCAAGCACCTACGTCTTTGGAGGGAAAATATTATACAGGTTATAACACGTTTTATTGATCACCCATAGTCATTCTTAAAATCAATGACATTTTTTATCAAGAATTGATTCTTAGAACAAGCTGAATGTTAAAGAAACAGTACGCACCCTTTTAGTAATGCATGAATGTGACTATTGATTGGTATTATCTTGAAACTTTGAGAAGTAAATAGTTTTCTTGTCTACCTTCAGTGTATCAGTCTCAGCAACAAGGTTGAAATATCATCTTTTATGTTCATTTGGTGCTGCAGTCTTTAGGCCAATGACTTCTACATGGTATTCCCTTTGGTTGTAGACGCAATGGTGCTCAGAAATAACAGGGTGTATAAAATATCCACAATGATATGATCACACACTTTATTATTTGCATTTGGAACTGGTCATTTCAGTTCAATTTTCAAAAGACAGAAATCTGATATCCTGGTCTGAATTCTTTGCTTTGATGCTGAGAAAATAGCCTTGTCATTGATTGGTTAATTAAAAACTTCACTGGACTTCAGTGTGACCTCCTCAAGAGGGGTTGTCAGATTTTCGTGCAGGTTGTCAGATGTTCGCGCAGACACAAGCTCCTCCAACATCATGTTGACATGGAGTGAGTGCTATAACTGAAATACTGTTTGAACCAAATTCACTACACTTTGAAATCACCCATTCTCCATCTTTGTCTACACTTACAAGGAGCAGGGATACTGGGGACCTATTTTAGGGAGCATATTGCTATAATCAAAAACGTATACCAGGGTACGTCTTTGCTAGAATACACTGAACAATGTTCTGTTAAACATCATCTGCTAATGAGAACAAAATACAGTGTACATCCTTGTATTATTATATCTCTGAAATATATCTTATATCCTCATTAACAAGTAGGGGGCACGGGTGGCCCTGTCGTCTAGGCGCTGCGATTTGCGATGCAGAGTTGCATCCCTTGGGCACGCCAGAAACCTATGATTGTGGGTTCGAACCCCGATTCGCCCTGATTATGTTTCTAGGTTTGTCAGCACCATACCCGTGCTCGTGGGTTTCATAGAAGTGGTAAACGTCTGAGACCTGCATCACTTCAGGCTTTCCTCCAAAATTAAGCTGACACGCCGCGATATGACTGGAATAATGTTAAAAGGGGCATTACACCCAACTCACTCACTCATTAACAAGTAATGGAAGCGAGGTCATGCTTGTTCTTGCTTTGTAGATTACTAACACTAATGTTTATTAAAACCAAACAAAATACAAAATACTTCATTTGGATTAGCTTTTATTCTTTTCAGTAAGACTTAAATTTACCAGATAATTTGAAAATATCATCCTGTCATGAAATCAACCATTACGTGTATTTTTTAATCTCATCTTCATGGCACTGCGGCCATGAAATTGAAATTCTTAAAACCTGAACAACAAAATCAATGACCCGATTCGACCTCCGATATTAATAATGTGACAACGGCATACAAGTGCAACAGTGTGGATTCGATCCCTTCCACAGTGTCACAGTGTAAATCTATACATTCCATCACAAGAACCAACCTACGGACACAGACACGACCTGACCCATATTCCAGTATATTATGGACTCGCTGGTCCATTTAGGTGAAGCTGGAACAGCAAATGTTACAGAGATGGGCTGGGGCAGTGTGTCGGTGCTTGCACTTGTGCCTGATGCCTGATGTATGGCGGAGAACCAGCCATCGATAAATTATTGGAATACAGCCCTTAAGGTTACTGACTTATCTGGGAAACACAATCGCTGTTTAATAGACTGTGAACAGACATGATCAAGTGTGGTGAAGCATTTGAGAAGACTCTTGGTTGTCATGCATGACTTGTCTTAATTTTATGCTACTCTTGGTTGTCAGAATTGTTTAGCATAAATGATGTGTGTGTTGAAATTCGAGGTGAACCTTGGTTGGTGCATAGTCTAAGCATGATACATATCCCTCCGCACTGCAATCCCACACCAAAACAGTTCTACTGTACCCTGATCAATTCCTGTCCCCCTGCTACCCCCTTGTGTCAAAGCCCTCCCCTGCACACCATCTCCCCCTAATCCCCCGCCCCTCCCAAAACCCATCTCACGCCCTATCAACTACTGCGGCTTTGACTACAACGCCCCCTACTCCTACTCTACTACAAACATCATCTACCCTCAACTTTCACTGCTGCATACTCACACTCACATACCCGTTATACACCATGCCACCCTCCAACCTCTCTAATACACACATCTACCCCAAACTGCCCACACTCACACGCACACACATACAACACGCACACACAAACATAGACGCACACATACAACACACACATACAACACACACACCGTACCACTCTCTCTGCTACACACACTACCCTATACTTCTACTATGTATCAACATCTCTCTCCCGCACCATCCCTGCCAAACTCATCCTTTCTAATGTCTAATGCCTTAATTGAGTGTCCCTTGATCTGTCAACTGAACATTTTAGTTCCCAAACTCAGTCTTCATGCAGTAACACTTATACAAAAACAATTTATTTGTTCTTCTCTTTGCATTAAGATATTCTTAAAAGGATATACCAACATGTGAGCTGAAAGATTTCCAAGCAGACAATATAAAATGATTTATAGTACTTAAACACAACCATATCCTGAACATAAATAGAGCAAGCGAGATGGCATTATTGTTCGGCCACATTCTTCACATATGAGTAATAGAATGTAAAGACATTGTTGTCTGTTTTAAACAAGGAATGTATTTAATAAA